TGAAGAAGACGGGCCCTTTGAATGCGGGCTCAGCACCAGCAATCCTAAATGAAAGTACTCGTATAGGCCCCAAGACAGATTCTCAAGATCCGAGCCCAGATGTACGGTCTGAATTCTGAGGAAGACCTTTGGCGGGCCTCAGATCAAGCAGCGGTGAGCCCGGCACGGGCTGCGCAGGCTAGCTCCTGCAGATAACGGGCGGAAGCGCACCTTGTCAGGTGCAGAGCGCTTGGCATTGCGTGCGCATTTAGAATCCCGCCTCCGGCCCACGAGCTTACAAGATGTGCTCAATTTCTCAAGTGCTTAAGGCTTAGCCGAACGGACATTTCTGTGGGCATGGGGGAAGGAAATCTTTTTCCGATTGCCAGGCTTCTCCATCTGAATCGAGTGTCCTCTGCACGATATGCATCTGGAAACGCCAAGACATTAAAGTCATTAGAGGGGACAACATTGAGAAGCCGGCTTGCTATATTGTAGAAGTTCTTGAACTACCGCGCGAGAACTGTGCCTTCGATGTTGGCTGCTTGGCTGGGGCTACATTGCTCCCTTGCCGACTACGTCAGGCCGAGATGGGTCACAACTTGCCGCAAGGTCAGGAAGCTTCGGAAGTCCTTCTCCAGTAAAGAAGTACAACGCCCTGGGACTCTAAGTCACTATCTGCACAAGCTGGGCCCGCAAACGTTCCCTGCGGTGAAGTGGATCCTGAAAACAAAGTGTTGCGAAGAGAACGGGCATGTTTGGCTGAGAGGCAGAAACTCTTCGCTCGACTCCGTACAGTCCCGCACTGATACGGCAGGGCCCTTGGTCGTTTGTCGAGCTTGCAAGTCCCTCTTGGGACATGGAACCTGATCACTACCGTAATCATGGTCAACAAATGTAATGCCTCATGGTCGCACATGGTGGCCATCAAACACAAGCAGCTACAGCTTCTGCATCCCTTTCGCCCTAGTGAGCAGAAATCCCCGAAGAGCGATAGGCAGCCCACTTGATTCCAGTACTCTTTTCCAGCAAAGCCAAGTAAGTGCAGACCAGCATCCTTAAGAGGCAAGGCATCATGAGGGATGTCCCGAGTCGGGTCT